AAAACAACAATGCCCCCAAAAATAATATCGGCGTGTAGGGTTTTTTTATCCCTACATGCCCTTTTTTTTTCATGCGTAAAAAAAAAAAAAAAAAATCCTGCACCAAACTTGGCCGGTTGGCCGTGGCCGAAGCCCGGCCGATTCGGCCGCCGGCCGTGACCGAGGCCGATTTTTCGTCCTCGGTCATGACCGGACGTGCAACACAGAATCGCGCAGCCCTAATTTATAGCGTGCATGCATGCGCGAAGAACACGGAATTGCAAGGACTTAGAAGAAGAGAAGGGAAGGGATTGCCTACGTTCTACATGGGCAGACCGCAGCGTAGGGGATGTAGCCACTCTCCATACGTCGATCAGATCATGCAGCCCGTTGTCGAGCGCATCGGTCCGGCACCACATCAGGGCAGCGCGGGACCCTCCCGGCCGCGTTACGCAGGAGTAGGTTTAAAAATCCTTCGTCGCAAAATATACATGGAGCTTCCGCAAGCCGCTCCGGCCGAGTGCGCTAGCCATACCTCTCGCGAGCCCCTACAACAGGATAGGGCCTACTCGAGGCGCGACTTACCTACACCTTACGGGAGCTGTCACCTCCCTTCGGTGGGCGTATCCCCGCCGAGCTATCAGTCCACAGTATGAAAGCTAATCAGCTGCAATCGCAGAGGTGGACCAGCTGAGGGCATGTCAATGTGCCCCGAGGCAATGGGGTTCTGCGGAGTTGTAGAACAGCAGCGCAATAAGGTTCACCCGCAGTTATTGTCATGAACACTGCACATGGGAACCAAACTGATAGAGGCCTTCATGGCCGAGCGAAGGTTCAGGATACGACGACCCGCCTGCCAGATTGTCGTCGTACGTCAGTGACGTCTGTGCTGCCACAGACTGCAACGGAGCTATGATTAGTCGGCGCCATCGTAACTGTATCTTTCTTCGTGAGCTTCGTCTTTCTCGCCCTTCTCTCTCTTCCTTTTTGCTGTGTCTGGGACGCCCGCGGTGTCGGTGCGAATACCCTTACAAGCGTCGAGAGATTAACCCTCAAGGCGGGTGTCAGCCGACACTTGAGTATCGAACGCGACCCTCAAGATTAACGAGGGCCGCGTAAGTATGGGTACTACATAGTACACCATTATTGCGACCGCTTACGTACGCTTGCATTGCGAGTCGATACGAGTTAGCCCTGCGTCCGCGCGGTTTTATGGTTTTATACTAAATCTCGCGCGCTACGCCTGTTTGATTTTCGTAAGTCTCGCGCGCTACGCCTGTTTGATTTTCGTAAGTCTCGCGCGCTACGCCTGTTTGATTTTCGCATTAGAAAGTTATGGGTTGGCTACCGATGGGCTATGAGCTTTGTCGCGTTGTTTGTGTTGTGTCGTTTCGTATATGTGTTGTTTTATGTGTATGTGTGTTTGTAAAGTGAAGTGCGCGTGGTGTGTGGAATGCGTCCTAGTCGACCGACATCGAATCGCGCTTGGGACTTCAGCCCCCCAAGATGACGATTCGCCTGCGGGTCCGATAGAGGCGTATTACCACGCGTACCCCCTATGCTATAGCGAACGAGAAACGTTCTCGGTTGGTCCACCTCTGCGATTGCAGCTGATTAGCTTTCGTACAGTGGACTGGTAGCTCGGCGGGGATACGCCCAGCGAAGGGAGGTGACAGCTCCCGTAAGGTGTAGGTAAGCCATGCCTCGCGTAGGCCCTATCCTGTCGTAGGGGCTCGCGAGACGTATGGCTGGCGCACTCGGCCGGAGCGGCTTGCGGAAGCTCCATGTATATTTTACGACGAAGGATTTTTAAACCTACTCCTGCGTGACGCGGTCGGGAGGGTCCCTTGCTGCCCTGATGTGGTGCCGGACCGATGCGCTCGACAACGGGCTGCATGATCTGATCAACGCGTGGAGAGTGGCTACGTCCCCTACGCCACGGTCTGCCCATGTAGAACGTAGGCAATCCCTTCCCTTCTCCCCTTCTAAGTCCTTGCAATTCCGTGTTCTTCGCGCATGCATGCACGCTATAAATTAGGGCTGCGCGATTCTGTGTTGCACGTCCGATCATGACTGAGGACGAAAAATCAGCCTCGGTCACGGCCGGCGGACGAATCGGCCGGGTTTCGGCCACGGCCGACCGGCCAAGTTTGGTGCAGGATGTTTTTTTTTTTTTTTTACGCATGAAAAAGAAAGGGCGTGTAG